TGCCAGATATTAATGCCCAAGTGTTGCTCTCTTTTGTTCCCATCCTCTACAGAAGTACACTATTTGTCTAGTTATTATATTATATGATAGGTGAGGTTGTTTTGGACGATGAGGTGAAGAGAAGTGCTGACCTCAAATTTCAAAATTTTGAAACTCTGCCGTGCTTGCAGAACTTTGAGCCTGTACTGGATCTATCGGCGTACGAGGGAATCATGATTCGCCTAAAGGTATGTGGAAAATCCTCGAAAGCGTCAAAGAGAGTAAAAAAATAAGTTTAGCACTGCACTCCGAGATGGTCAAAATAAAGTTTAATAAGATCAAAGCTCACATCAAACATGTTGACCCAAAGGTACGACTACAAGCCAAAAACCCATGGAAAAGAAGAAGGAAAAAGGAGGACAACAAATTCATGAAAAGTCAGAAAAACAGTCAAGATGAACTGGAGCCATGAGTCGAATGAAGTCCAATGCACATTGCTTTTAGACTGCCAAAGCAGCACTTTTGCTATCAAGTAAACAGTAGGCAGTAATAGATGTCGATAAACATGGTGGTGACTTTTGACATAAATGCAGCGTCTTGGCGGAAGATGTGTGCGGTGCCATCATCAAGGATCTTGTCGATGTCCTTTCTGAAATCGTGTGAAATCAGCGAATTTCTAACAAGAAGGCCAAGGTCACGGAGGCAATATACATGCATGCAAGGGTGCTTTCTAGTGGAAGGTAATTTGTGGATCTATTTCTGATGCACCTGCCAGCGTTCCTCCTCATTCCTAGCTGGGGGCAATGGATCATCCCATGGACCTGGAACCTGACTCTTTTCGTCCCCGTTTCAATAAATGTTCGTACAAGGTGCGATAAACCTGTCTCAAAAAAAAAAAAAAAAAAAAAAAAAAAAAAAAAACTGTCCAGCAGATTGGAATTTAAAGGAAATTGAGAAACTCGCGATTAAACTCATGACGGAGTCGCCTGTGCCGCTCCATATCCTGAGCCTTCAGAGGTACCATATCCTCATGCACATTGCGGTACTCAAGGACCCAAGGTAGAGGAACTCCTTTAGCCTGGAAGGTGTTCCCCCTCGTTCATAGCTTTTAAAGGAGGAATGGATCATCCAATTGGACCTGGAGCATGAGGATATGGCACCTTGAAAGCTTCAGGCTATGGAGCGGCACATTTTATAGTACTGCATCCTCGTGCACATGACGGAGTTGCCTGACCCTTTTGGTCCACCTTTAAATATAAGCTCTCCGTTTGCCTGGCAGGTGTTGTCCCTTTAAAAGAAATTAAAAGCAAACAAGTGGACCCGCCACAGCGACGCTGCGGCCGAGGAGAGGGGCGAAGAGGGGCGCGGGGGTGTTGGTGTCGTAGCGGCAAGGCGAAAAAAAAAATAAAAATTGTTGGTGTCGTCATATCAATCACACAGGAAAAAAAAAACGATGACCGGTGCTTGTCGTTTGCTCTGTCTGTTTCTCTCTCTCTCTCTCTC